GAGAGACGGGGCGAATAAGCGACACGAAGCGGGGATCAACCGTGTTTTGCCCATCCCAGGCCACCGGGCAGAAACATGTGTCCTCTGAGAGCGGCATCGAGGCAACGCGCAACGAACATGTTACGATTTACGGGCCTTGGCGAAGCTGCAGAGTAGCGTGCACTGCAACCTTGGGACGTGAAGAAGAAGAGGGCGAAGGAGAGGGGAGGAGATGCGAGGCTGGAAATCATAAGTGACCAAATGATGTGTAGCCGATGTCCCAGGACCCAGGACCAAAGAAGGCAGATGGCATGGACACCTTTAGGCCTTCTGAGGTCAAAGAAGATCAGACGGGTTCCCCAAACGGTGTATACATTGTAAATTCCAGCCTCGCATACGGAACGTCTCGAATGGACTCTCGGGTGGAGCTGCTTCGGGCTCATGAACTTGAAAGGCTGGGCGTTGAACTCCGTGTTGTTGGCAATCTCCTGACAAGCAAAGCATATAGGAGGGACATGGTCGTAGAAAGGGGGTGAAGAAATCACAGGGAAAAGAGGAAGTGGAGGAGAAAGGGATAATGGGCACCGGGAGGAGGCAGGACAGAAAGGAGCAGGAAGAAATGAAGTAGGAAGGAGAAAGACGAAGAAGACGAGCATGAGGGGATGGAGAAGGCGAATGCAGTACAGTGCGGGCGCGGTCGCAAGAAACCCTCGCAAGAACTCGAACCATGAAAACCAATGGGCGAAGTGCACCTGGGGAGAAACCCGGAGCACCCTGAACGCAGCAGCTTCTTCGACGGCCGCGGGAAGTCACCGCGCAACGCTCAGAGCGAAGAAACCCAGGGAACCCAGACGAAAAGCAAATGGTTGCTTGGTGCGCGCCGCCACTGTACGTTCGCAAGTGACTTCGCACGGAGCGAAGGAGAATTTGTGGTCACTTCGCACGACGCCTCCACACGGACTGGATCACAAGAGAAACTCCGTGCAACTTCTCGCATCAACAAGGGGGGACAGGCTGGGGGCTTTCGGCTGTGGACAAACCTCCCTTTAAAAAACCTCCCCTTGATGAAAACGGCCTGGGACCGAAACCGACGGACCTGGACCCGCAAAAACGACGGCCGCAACGCCCTCTCGCGAACCGAAAACGGCCAATTCCTCAATCGACGTGTCAGGGTAGGAGGTCTATCCACCTCCGAGGCTTGAGGCCAAGGGGGGAGATCCGAGAGCTCTTCTGCAAAGCGCACGAACACTCTTGGTTACCCTGCGAGTTCGGGGCCTCACGGCGCTGGCGCGATCCACGATGAAGAAACGCTACACGTAAACATAAATGTCCGACGGTCCGCACGGACTTCTTGAATCTGCGCAGGACACTCCCTCCATGGCGCTTGGAACGCGCCAGCGGCGGCGCCAGAAGCGCAACCAAGATGCTCCAATGCAGATCCGCGTGGACCGTCGAAGACTGATGCTCACGTAGCGCCCCGAAGATGCGGATAAGAGTGAGGGGGCGGTGGGGACGTCGGCAGTCTGCGAAACTCAAGAGAAAACCGCCGCAGGCGTCAAATTTTCACAAAGTATACAACGATCCCGCCGCAGGCGCCGATTTTTCTTCAAACCGATAGGTGGATCGGTCGCGGGTGGGTCGCGAATGGGTCGCAGGAGGGTCGCGGGTGGGTCGCGGGTTGGTCGCGGGGTGGGTGGGTCGCGGGGTGGGTCGCAGGTTGGGTCGCGGCTGGGTCGCGAGTGGGTCGCGGGTGGGTCGCGGGTTGGGTCGCGGGTGGGTCGCGTGTTGGGTCGCGGGTGGGTCGCGGGGTGGATCGCAGGGTGGGTCACGGGGTAGGTCACGGGGTGGGTCGCTGGTAGGTCGCAGGGAGAACGACGACGACAACAAAAAAGAACAACACCAACACCAACAAACATAACAAAAACAACAACAGCAACAACAACAGCAGCAACAACAAGTTTAACAACACCAATAACGACAGCAATAACAAAAACCAGCAGCAGCAGCAGCAACAATAACATCAACAGCAACAACAACAACAACAGCATCAACAACGCAACAAGCAGTCCTCACCACGGATTCTCACTTCAGCCACGCTCCCAAGGATAATGAATGACCGTTCGGCCCCTCACTCTGACGCATTTGTCCCAACCGTCCTGTATTGTATCCTCGTTTTGAAAAGACAGCGCCGCCAGCTTTGCTCTCCTCTCCCCCTCCTCTCTCCTCCAGCCGTTGCCTCTTCCCCCCGCATGTCCTCATCGCCATCAACATCACCATGCCAAGCAATACGCATCTGTCCTCAAACTGTCTTCTTCGTCGTCATCACCAGCATCATAATCATACTCGTCATCATCATCATCGTTTCCCTCATCCCCCTCCTCCTGCGCCACCATCATCATCACCACCATCAACATTATAATCAACATCCTCAGCATCGTCTTCACCACGATCACCACCATGCCCGTCATCATTGTCTTCAACACATGGCCATCACCAGCAGCATCGAGGTCATCATCGCCATCACTGCCATCGTCATCGTCATTGCCTCACACGGTTCGTGGCCCCATGATAGTTAAAGCCCAAGCGGGTGCGCTCGCATGCCGCCGTTCCCCCACATTGGCCAGCCATCGCACGCTTCCTGACCTCATAGGGACCTCCAACTAAGGCCCCAACGGTTGCATTCGCATGCCGCCACCCCCATTAGTTTGGCACACGCTCTAGACACACACACACACACACACACACACGCACGCACGCACGCGCGTGCGTGCACCACGCGCGCGCGCACACACGCACGCACGCGCACGCACGCACGCACGCACGCATGCACGCACGTGCGCACGCACGCACGCACGCACGAACATGCGCACGCACGCGCGCGCACGCACGCACGCACGCACGCACGCGCGCGCGCACGCACGCACGCACGCACGCACGCACGCACACACGCACATACACACATACACACACACGCACACACGCACGCACGCACACGCACGCACACGCACGCACGCACGTGCAGACTTACACACGCATACGCACACACGCACGCACGCACGCACAGACACACACACACACACACGCACACACACACGCACCCGCCGCACCCACACACACACACGCACACACGCACGCACTTACGCACGCACGCACGCACACGGACAAACACACACGCACACAAACGCACACACACACACAGACACACACACACAAACACACACAAACACACACACACACAAACACACACACAAACACACACACATACACAACACAAACAAATACACAAACAAACACACACACACACGCACGAACACACACACACACACGTGCACACGCGCAAACACACGCATACATTTTTACAAGCGAAGGAGGAGCCCAGTGGCAGAAGTCAGGGGAACGACGGACGACAAAAAACAACGGGGAAGGGGGGAATAGGCGGGAAAGGGGCGAGGGACACGCGCCGCGCGCGACCGGGCCCTCAGGAGGCCGCGCCGGCCGGCGGGGGGCGGTTCCGCGCCCGCGCCCCAGCGGCCGCCTGACCTGGCAGCGCCAGCGGCGACCCTGGCTGGCCGCGCCGGCCTCGCCGGGCTCAGGCCTCACCGGCCCGCCCCTGGCGCAGGATGCGCTCGGCGGCCCGCCGGCGGCCCCGCGCGTCGGGGATGCCCTCGATCCGGGCTCGCGCATCGCGGAAGCCGCAGCCGCGAAGCTTCACGCGCAGTGCGGGCGCGAGGGCGCGCTCTGGAGCCCAGCCCGCGCTGTCCAAGCCAACGCGCAGCGCTTGCAGGAACTCGGCCCTGCCGATGCCGTCGGCCTCCTGTCCGTCGCTTTCCCGCTCAGGGGGGAGGGCTGGTTCCGGCGCGCCCGCCGCGCCGGCGTGGGCGGCCGCGCGAGGCGGCCCAGCCGCCTCCGGACCGTCGCCCAGACCCGCCGCAGCAAGGAGGGCCAGGGGCGGCTCCGCCGCCGCGCAAACAACGTCGGTCGCCCGCTCGCCGCGGCGCCCTGCCCGCTTTCTAAAAACATTTCGTGGACCACAAAAGGCTCTTATAACATTCTTTGGTAGGCCTAAAGACACGCCAAGACGCTTCGTCACTACTTGAAAATCCGTCACCGCGAGACGGGCCGCGGCGCCGGAGAGCGCGCCCGGGGCGCCCGCTCGCGGGGACGCTCGGCTCTCAGCGGGCCAGGAATGGGGCCGGTGCGCCTGCCCGCGGGCTGCGCGTGGCGGTGGTGCCGTGCGCCGCGGCGCTGGCTGCGTCGGCTGCGGCTGCGCCTGCGGCTCCGGTGCCGCGCGTTCGCCCCCCCAGCGGCGCCGCTGCTGGCGCCTGGGCCCCAGCGGCGAGCGGCTTCGCCCGCGCGGCCGCTGCGGCGGCGGGCCCCGCGAGCGCGTCATAAACTCCGGGGGAGCCTCCGACCGCGCCTCGCCCCGCGGGCTCCGGCTGCGGCGCTGGTCGGCAGGTGCGCCGCGGCCGCTCCAAGGGGCCGTCCTGCTCCTGCTCGGGGTCCTCCAAGTGCCGTCCCGGACGCGCTGGCGTCGCGGCGGTGTCGCCGGCGCCCCCGCAAGGGCCAGCTGCACCTGCCTGCAGGCGCGGCGGCGCCTCCCTGCGCAGGCGTAGCGAGGGCCGGGGGCGCCTGCGCGGCGCCGCCGGGCCGCCCGGCGCCGCCGGGCCGCCCGGCCTCGCCTCCGCCTTCGCCCTCGCCCGCCCCGCCGCCTGCCACGGCGTCCGCGGCGTCGGCCCACGCGCCAGGCGCGGGGGCGACCGCCGCGGGCACGGTCAGCAGCTGCCACCCGCAGCCCGCCGGGAGGGGGGGAAGGCACAGCAACCACCGGGCAGCCACTGAATGCGCCGGCGCGCGCCCGGCGCGCCGCTCACAGCGACCCCTCGGCTCCCCTCGAGCCGATGGCCACGGCCATCTCCCAACCCCCCGAAACAGGTTGGGAACTTGAGCCAGAATTGCTTGAGCGAAAATGGCTACGGACACACACACACACAAACACACACACACACACGCACACTCTCCCCCCCCCACACACAAAACACACACACACACACACAACACACACACACAACACACAACACACACACAACACTCAACACACAACACACAACACACACAACGCACACACAACACACGCAATACACACACGACACACACACCACACACACCACACACACACTACATACACACGCACGCACTCACGCAGACACACAGCACACACACACACAACACACACAAACGACACACACACACAAACACCACACACACCACACACACACCACACACACGCACTCACGCACGCACGCACGCACGCACGCACACACCTACCCACACACCTATACACACAGCACACGTTTCGTGGCTCCAAAGAAAGCTACACACAAGTACCCAATGGCTGCGTTCGCATGCTGCCACCCCCCTCCCTTTGGCACACCTCTCACACGCTTCGTCGCCCATAAAGCTGGGGCTCCACCTCGGCACACCCTTCACACGCTTCGTGGCCTCATGGGGGGCTCCGCCTACGGACCCAACGGCTGCGTTCGCATGCCAGCAACCCCCCTCCCTTTGGCACACCCCTCACACGCTTCCTCACCCCATAGAGAACAACACCTTAGGCTCCAATGGTTGCCACTTTGGCACACTCCTCACACGTTCCGTGGCCCCTTAGGGAGTTCCACCTCAGGCCCCAATGGCTGCGTTTGCATGCCTCCGTTCCCCTCCCTTCTTTGGCACACCCCTCGTACGTTTCGTCGCCCCGTTGGAGCTCCACGTAAGGCTCCAATAGTCGCGATCGCATGCCGCCATCGCCCTCACCATGGCACACCCCTTACACGCTTCGTCGCCCCACAAGGAGGTCCACCGAAGGCACAAATGGCTGCGTTCGCATGCCGCCACCGTCCTCACTTTGGAACATCCCTCACACGTTTCGTGGCCCCATTAGGCCCCAATGGCTGCGTTCGCATGCTGCTCCCCCCCCTCACTTTGGCACACCCCTCGCACGCTTCGTGGCCTCACAGGAAGCTCCACCTCAAGCCCCCGTAGCTGCGTTCGCATGCCGCCGCCACCGCCATCCCACTTTGGCGCACCCCTCACACGCTTCGTCGCCCCAGAAGGTCTTCCAACTAAGGCCCCAGCGGCTGCGTTCGCATGCCGCCGCCACCCCACTGTGGCGCACCACTCACACGCTTCGTGGCCGCATGAAGGGGGCTCCACCTAAAGCCATATGTGGCCTGCGCGTGTTGTGTCTGGAGCTTCCTTGGGGGCTAGCTGTGGTCTGTCGAAGGCCTCCAAAGAGACGTTCTCGGGTGCCCAGAGGCAGCTTGGGCATATCTTTGGGACCTCGTCGGATGCGGTTCCACCTCCTATCAATTCCTTGGGCCAGCTGTTATCGTCTGAGGCGTCTCCAGGGTCCTCTTGGGCGCTTCTCCTGGACATTCAGAAGCTTCTTGGGAGTATTTGGCTTCGGGGGTGTGTTGGAGGCCTCGTAGCGTAGAGATGAGCGCTGTTTGAGTTTCCTGATGTAAACATATATTTACAGACATATCTATATATATGTATGAACCATCGTGCCCCGACTAATGTGAGACGCTGGTATTGCACTGTTGGGCGATCTTGGGGCCGTCTGAGGCACTCTCGGCGTATTGAAACGTCATGGCTGGAACTGTTAGCCGTGTCTTGGTCTGGAGCAATTATCGGGCCCTGGGGCCGTCGGAGAACGACCCGAGATGGAAATCCAAGTCCCCTGGAAAGGGTGAGGACTTTCAGTGACCGCACATTTCTTACAATTAAGACGTTGGTTATCTGGGATCGGGCGAGGGCGCGATACGAAAACAATGGCTGGATGCCGCCGACATCGGGTCCACGTGGATTTGGTCGGAAGATCGCGCCGCGCCGCTGGTGCATTGGCGACGCCGGCGATGCATCGGCTACAATCAAAACTGATAGCATGGCTGCGCGGTAAGGATGCAAGCCCCTTGGACGACCATGTCGAAGATTCTCGTACGGGGCTGGCCTTTGAGAATGGGCACGGATGAACTCAAGGAGGCAAGGATGCAAGGGTACCCCTGGAAAGGTTACCCATCCTCACTATCGGTTTCGATTTTACGTCGGCGTGGAAGAAGTCGGGCTCCACATCGATCCTTATCGCTGATGCATCGGCGAAGTGACGCGATCCGCCGACCCCATCAACTTCGACTCTATTTGGGCGACCCGACCTGTACTGGTTCAAGAACGAGCACGTCAATGATGTTGTGCTCAGTGCCGCGGCCTCTCAGGCGTCGCTCTGAAGGTCTCGAAAACGAAGTATGCTCTTAGATTTTGACTGCGTGATCCTCCGCTCTCTTGGCACGCCTGTAACGGTTACGGATAAAAATGGGTACAATGCCAAACACTAGATGTTGTCCCACACCGACATTAGCCGCTGTTGGTTGGCATAAGACTTTTGTCTAAAATGGGCTATGTCCGCGGCGACGCCGACAACGAACCCTCGTCATGATGGACAAGAACTGATGTTGGTTTTCGCCCTCGATCTTTCTGTAATTGGCATGTCGATTGCCCCGGGGGAAGCGTGATCAGGGCGAGTTGACACAAAAACAACTCAAAATCGGTCCCACGACCCCTTCTGGTCCAACGGCATAAATTTCCAGTGTTGCGTCCACCCGTGGCGACGGGGGGGGCGCGCCGAAGGCGACGAGGGGGTCCCCCGAAGGTCAACTACCGTTGTCCGAACTCTCCCTCCTCTGAATGTCGATCGCCCTGGGGAAAGCACCGTTTCGTTCGGTTCGGGGCGCTCTCTGGCCATCCTTGAAGCCGAACTGGAGCTCTTTCGCGTACTTCAGCATCTTGTGCATCGAGATAGCGTTCTTTCTCACCTCGTCCTGCGCGCAGCCCAGGGGCTCTCTGAAGAGAGGAGCCGCGCCGCCATGATGCTTCCACATCCGCCGCCTGAGAGTGCCGCCGCTCAGGACCCCGAAGACCCCTCGATAAGCGGATGTGTTAGGAAACATTGGGGGGCCTGAAAGTGAGCGCCAACACCAACTCGGGGGATTGCCACCACCAGGGAGACATGATCCTGGGTCTTGGTGCTGGTGGTAATCCCTCGGCCACCTAATAGGCCCGTTGCCGAGATCAGGACGATCTCCCCTCGGTGGAGGCACACGCCGATGCCGGTGTTCGTGCCAGCCTCTAGGCCTCCGGAAGCAACTCCCGGGAGGCCTTCGTAAGAACGGCTAAGAATTATCAAGCCCGAGTACCCCTTCTCTGAAGGGGCCCTGGGACACACAAATCCGCCGGCCCCCTTGCGGGGCCATCAGGCTGCGAGGATTAAGGTTGCTGCTCCCTGCACCGGTTCCAGCTTCCAGCTTCAATTGTTAGTACTGCTTTCTGCTTCCTACTGTAAATTGTTACTGTCCGCGCGAGGGGGGAGCCGAAAAGGGCCCTGGTTAGCGTCCACCGGGAGGGTTCTCAGAATTCCTGGGGGGGGCGTGGGACATGTAAAAATACGCAGATTCGTGCCCCCGAGGCTATAATCCTTCGTAAATTACACGAAGTTCGCGCCCCCGAAGCCAGAATCCCGCATAGATTACGCCACATTCGCGCCACCGAGACCACGATTCCATGTAAATTATGCAACATTCGCGCCCCCGACGCCAGAATCCATGATTACACAAAATTCGAGCTCCCGAAGCGACGAACCCTCGTAAATTGCGCAGCGGCCGCGCCCCTGAGGCCACGAATCCGCCGCGTGGAGGCTGCCGAAAAGGCGCCCCCCTCTCCAGAGCAGAAAAAGACAATTTTCTGTATTTGGATATGATGTGCTCCGCTGATATTGTTATGTCCCCCCGCTGTTTCTTGAAAATTCAACGGTGGGCTCCACATTCGCGCCCCCCAGGCCACGATCCCTCGTAAATTACACCACGTTCGCGCCCCCGACGCCACGATCCTTCGTAAATTATACAAAATTCGCGGTCCCGAGGCCACGACCCCTTGTAAATTACGCCGCATGAGCGCCCCCGAGGCCACGATCCCTTGCAAATTACGCCGCAGTCGAGCCCTCGAGGCCACGCGATCCCTACTCAATTGCTCCAGACTCGCGCCCCCCAGGCTACGATCCCATGTAAATTACACCACGTTCGCGCCCTCGATGGCACGATCCCTCGTAAATTACGCTGGATGCGCACCCCCAGGCTACGAATCCACCTCGCGGAGGCTGCCCAAAGGCGACACTCCTTCTCCTGAGCAGAAAAACTGCAATGTCCCCAAATACTGCCTGAAACAATCAATCCCCAGCCGTTCCCAGAGCGCTTCCAATGAACAACTGGAGGAAAACGCTCTAAGAAGACAACAAAGCGTTCAACAATGATTTCAGAATCTCGATATGTTTTGCTCATCGCCAGCCGCCCTAGCATGACGCTCCCGAATGTCACCAAGACGGTGCCCAGACATCCCAGTATAGCTCTGATGTATCCCATTCTGATAGGGAGGGGGCCGGCGGCAGGGGGCGAAGCCCTTACGGATAAATAAACACAAATAACCGGATACCCCGTATTTTCCCATATCTTCTGGGTTTGTGTGTTCCACTTCCCATACCTTCCCATATTTTCTGGAGAGTCGACGAATCATTGATTGTGTATGTGTGTTTTTCCCCTCCCGATTCTCGCCCGACCCGAGGCGGGGGCCCTCGCGCGCGTGCGGCGCTCCTTCTGCTGGTAGAGCTGCAGCCCGATGGACCTCGCCGGCCGGGGCCGCGGCCAGGGCGGCGCCCAGGGCGCGGCGGAGGGGCTCGCCCCCTCCGTGGGCAGGGGCCGACGGTCCAGGCATGCCTATCGGCCTACTGCGACATGGTCTTAGAAGGGAGGCTCTAGCACAGAAACAATGTTTCCTGGAACATGAGAGCCACTGGGGCCAACCATAACTGTCTCAGCCAGACAGATTCTAAGAACATCGAGTGCACACCATCCAAGGTCATGAGGCCCTTTTTCTGATGGGCTCATAGGCAGGTCAGCTTCGCCACTGCTTGGCCTTCTTCTCCTCCCTGTCCTGTCGCCTCCTCTTTTCCCCCCCAAGCCCTCTCGTCCTCGTCCTCGTCCTCGTCCTCCTACTCTGTCCTCCTCCCACGTTACAAAGAAACTGACGGAAGGCTTGGGTCGGCCCCATGGCGCACAATAACACGCCCAACCGCACGCAAAACGGACAAGATGCATCTCGCTCACATGGCGTTCCTGGGCGTTAGATGGCGTTACTAGGCGCTACCAAGCTCTTTTGGGCGTGATTCGACGCCACTGACCGCTACTGGACACTATTGGGGGCGCCATGCTCCGAGTTACCTTCATACCAAAACGACAGCGGATGCTTTCGTGATTGACTGTCAAAGCCACGTCTTCTCTCCTCCTCCTCCTCCTTTTCCTGTTCCTCCTCCTCCCCATCATTGGTCCTCCTCCTGGAGGCGAGGCCTGTGGACAGTGTGTGTGCACGCTCGTGCGGGGTTGCGGGAAATGCGACGAGCTGCTCCAGATCAGTAGGCACTCTCTGCAGGTGCGCGTTTGTGACGTGGCCACGGCACGCTTGTGACGCCCAGCGCACCGAGGAGCGTGGCATTATGCTCCCAATCCACTTCTCTTCACACCCTCCTTGCGTTCAAAGGGACCGTGGACACACGCACATAAATAGACACACATCTCCGGACTCACCACATGCTTACATATTTCCTGGGTTTGCGTCCCACCCCCCACTTCCCGTACGATCCCATCTTTTCCTGGGTGTCGACGATTATCTCTGTCTGTGTGTATTTCCTCTCGTGATCGTTTTTTTAGCAGGGACCGGCCGTCCCGGCATTCCTATGGGCCTACGACGAGATGTTCCTACATGCATTAACAACAACAACAACTGTGTTATTATCACATAAACCCGACGTGTTAAACAAAGCAATATGATCCGTACCTGTTCTAAATACACGTTGCGCAAACCAATAACAGGTTCTTGAAACATTATTTGGTGGGTCTATAGGCGAACCAAAACGCTTCGCCACTGTTGGATTCCTCCTCGGCCGCGAGGTCGCGTCGGCGAGCCTGCGCGACGCCCGCGGGCACGCGGGCGCAAACCACCAAATCGACCGCTCCGCCCCGCCACCCGCCCGCCAGACCCGGCTCGTCGGGTCGGGCGTTGGCGGGCAAGCAGGCGAGCAAAACGCAGAGCACGGTTGGGCGACCGAATGTTCGGGGTAACTCGGGCCAGAGGGAACTCGGTTGCGGATTCTCGGAAAAACAAGCCCGAGTCAGCCTGACCCGAGTTACCCCTGATGATTCGGGGCTCAGGACGCCCGAATTATCTGGGGTAGCTCGGGCCCAGGGTAGCTCGGGCTCGGATTCCCGAAAATCGAACCCGAGCTCCAGAGTTAAACCTGACCGGAATTACCCCTGATGGTTCGGGGCTCTCATACGGAGCAAGCGTGTTTTTCTTGTTTTGAGAGGGCGAACCGGCGCGGCCGCCAGCGCCCCAGCGAGGTGCGGACCCAAGCGGGCACCTTTGGCAGCTGTGCGATGCGGCGCGCACCCCAGGAGGCGCATACTGCCTCGCCGCCCCCGGCGCAGCGAAGGCCCCCGAGGAGGGCCAGAGCCTGCCCACGCGCCGGCAAGCGGTCCTGCCACCCCTGCCATGCTGGCCGACTGCGACCCGCCGCGCCGTGGCCGATGAGACGGCGTCCTGCCACAGCGGCCGCAAGGGGCCTCCCTGCCCCCAGGGCAAGGGGCCCCCCCGCCTCCACGGGCAGGCGACGGAGAGCTGCAGGGGAAAGGGCCGAGCGGGAGCCCCCAGCCTGCCGCTGGAGAGGTGCGCCGCTCTTCGCCCACCGCCGCCGTCCGCCCCGCGCTCTCTGGCCCCGTGCTCCCCCGCGCCAGAGATCCCTCGGGCCTCCTTGCTCCCCCCCCTCCCTCCCGAGAAGCGAGAGACGTGTCCTGGATCTGCCTCGCGGCTTGAAGGCACCCCTGGAGTCCTCCACGGGCCCTGGGACCGCCAGCAAAGCGACTCGGGATGAAGAACTGGACTCGGGGAGAGCCCCTGCGGGTCTAGAACCCGTTTCCTCGGGAAGTCCCCTCGCCATCGGCGGAGGGCTCCCCCAGAACCCTTTCCGCTTCCCTCGAAGGCGATTCCCTTTCCCCTGCCCCTGTTCACCCCCCCCCTCATCTGGAATGGCAAGACACTGCATCAGCTCTCGGAGGTCTGAGTATCGTTCAACCGATCCCCATCCCCAGCGGCGCGGCCCGGGCCCAACTGGCCGATTTACCCCCCTCGATGGGGATGTAGGCCGTTCCCTTCGGGTTTCGAGGGTTGTACCCCCAACCGGGCTGGGATGGGGATGGGGATGGGGATCGATTAAACGATACCGAGGTCCTCCCGGATTCCTTGGATCGGCGCTGACCCCCCCTCCTCCCTGGCGCGCGGAGCGCGCCAGGGGCAGCGCTGGAGGCGCCACCCAGGGGGGGTCCAGCGCCGACCCCTCCTCGGGACCTCGCCCGCGCTGCTCGCCGAGGAGGAACTCGGCGTCGAGCGAGGGGGGTAAGTGAGAAGGAGAAGGCCTTCTCTGCGAGTCGGGGATTTCTCCATATCCACCGCCTAGGAACCGACGTCCTGGTGCCCCAGCGGGCGGTGGATATGGATATGTTTCGGCCACCGGGGGCCCGAATATGTCCAAATTCACCGCCTGCCGAGGCTCCGAAAACTTCTGAGAAGTTCCCTGAGCCCTCCTCGAAGACAGAAGCAGCTCCTCAGAAGGCGCGCTGGCTCCTGAGAAGCCCTGCCGCCTTCCGAGAAGGCCCACTCTCCTTCTCGTTTCCCCCCTCGCTCGCCGCCGAGAAACGGTAAGGGGGGGGGCTGGCTCAGGGGGGACACTGGCGCGGAATCGGCGATGCGTCGCCGACAGATCGATGGCAGGCCTCCGAGGGGGAAAAACACAGCACGTTCCAGGGCCGGGCGGGGGGGACCAGGCGATCGGGGGGTTGACGCTTCCCCCCCCTGACCCAGCCCCCCCTCCCCCCCCAGCACGTTACCCCTAACCTCCTCGCTCCCCCCTCGTTCCTTCTCGTGCTCCCTCGGCCTCGTGTTTCCTCCATCTCTCTCCTGCTCCCGGCAGGAGAGATTCGCCTCCCCCGCCTCTCCACCTTGAGGGGCAAGTTTTCCACCACCACCACCACCACAAGTAATTAGGAGGGGGAGGGGGTCCTCCTCCTCCTCCTCCTCCTCCACCTCCTCCTCCTCCTCCTCCTCCTCTTCGCCCTCCTCCCCCCATCCAACTTATGGCGGTGGTGGTGGTGGACAACGGGCCCATCACCCCTCCCGCCTGCTCCCGGCAGGGGGGAGGGAGAGGCGGGAACCAGGCCGCAGCCGAGCACCCCGGTGGGGCCTGACGAGCTGATAGTCGGCGATCCCGCCGACGCCGATGGCCTTGGCCACGTCGTTCTCCCCCATCTTCTTCATGTTCTTCAGCATCTGCCAGGGAGGAGCCTCCTCCCCCCCTCCCTCGAGGGCAGAGAGTCCACCCCGCGAAGAAGCACCCCGGCGGGCGACGCCCCGGGTGGCAGACGCGCCCGTGGAGGGAATCGAACAGGGCGGGGCGGTTGAGTAAACGCCCAGGGCCGTCTAGTTATCGCCAATTGTCGGGATCTGGGTGTTGACTCCTCCCTTGACTCATCCCTCCTTCCTAGTCCCTTCTCAACCTCCTCCCGCCATGACCGCATGCAAAACACATGGTGTGAACTACTATATCGTACGAGGTGCAGCCTATGAGGTGCAACCGATGTGTAGTAAGTTGTGTGATGCTGCAAGGTATGTGGTGCAAGGTACTTACCTGGGGTGCACTATGTTGCGCAAGCTATGCGGTGTAACGTGTTGTGGGCTATGAGGTGCAACATGCGTGGAATCAGCTACTGGCTAGATTCCGTACCATCACTCCCCCCCCACAGCACCTCCAGTGCGCATCGAACACGCTCTTTCGGATTCTCCGATCGCGCTGTTTCCAAGGCCTGCTTCGTCCCGTCCCCCGAAGACCTCCCGCCTGCGCGATCGTTGCGAACTTGCCCGGCGGACGCCGCCAAGGACTACACCAGAGGATACATTAACAAATACATCTCCAGGACGAAAGTTTTTTCCTCTTGGGCCCGGAACAACGGTGTCAAATCTTGAACAGACCCGTGTGCGATAACCGCCGTCGGATCTCATGAAGTTCGCGCGGATCCAAATTTGGCTTTGATGTTTCTTTCGGTGGATCCGATTTCCGCCCGCACGGATCCGATTTCAGATTCGCTGGATCCGTGTCTGGTCTTATTTGTTGCGGCGGATCCGATTTTTACCCTGTTTTAAATTGATATTGCTAGATTAAACCAGGGGGCCGGGAGAAATCGGATCCGCGGACCCCCGCAAACCGCCCGTGTTAAGATTCTATGGGGGAAGGGGGGTTCGGTCATCAACTTTCCACGATGGGCACTGCGTCGTCTCGCGCACTCCCATCAAATCCCCGCGCGAGCGGGCCCCAGTCAACATGAATACATACATCCCTCCCCCTCCAATTGCTGCAAACAGCTCGTCCGGTCGCCGTCCGTTCGGCGGCGCCGACGTTGTCTCGCGAACTCCTCATGGCCATTTTCACCTCATGAGGAAAATCTTTCGTCCTGCGTAAGTGCGTCTCCTCACCCAACGGACTGCCTGTGAGATGTGGTGTCGGCTGTGTGGTAACCAACAACGGACTGCATGTGAGATGTGGTGTGTCGGCTATTTGTGTTACCAACAACGGACTGCCTGTGAAATGTGGTGTGTCGGTTATTTGGTAACCAACGAGTTCGAAGGCCAAAACGCCCATCCCCAGGACGAAAGTTTTGTCCTCCTGATGTGGTGTGTCGGCTATGTTGTTACCAACAACGGATTGCCTGTGAGGTGTGGTGTGTCGGCTAGATGGTAACCAACGACTCCGAAGGCCAAAACGCTCAGTGCGTTTCGGCCGTGCGTCTCCTCACCCAACGGACTGCCTGTGAGATGTGGTGTCGGTTGTGTGGTAACCAACAACGGACTGCATGTGAGATGCGGTGTGTCGGCTATTTGTGTTACCAACAACGGACTGCCTGTGAAATGTGGTGTGTCGGTTCTATGGTAACCAACGAGTTCGAAGGCCAAAACGCCCATCCCCAGGACGAAAGTTTTGTCCTCTTGATGTGGTGTGTCGGCTACGTTGTTACCAACAACGGATTGCCTGTGAGGTGTGGTGTGTCGGCTAGATGGTAACCAACGACTCCGAAGGCCAAAACGCTCATCTCCAGGACGAAAGTTTGTTCCTTTTGGGCCCGGAACGACGGTGTCAAGTCTTGAACAGACCCGTGTGCGATAACCGCCGTCGGATCTCATGAAGTTCGCGCGGATCCAAATTTGACTTTGGTGTTTGTTTCGGTGGATCCGATTTCCGCCCGCACGGATCCGATTTCAGATTCGCTGGATCCGTGTCTGGTCTTATTTTTTTGCGGCGGATCCGATTTTTACCCTGTTTTAAATTGATATTATTAGATTAAACCAGGGGGCCGGGAGAAATCGGATCCGCGGACCCCCGCAAACCGCCCGTGTTAAGATTCTATGGGGGAAGGGGGGTTCGGTAATCAACTTTCCACGATGGGCCCTGCGTCGTCTCGCGCACTCCCATCAAATCCCCGCGCGAGCGGGCCCCAGTCAACATGAATACATACATCCCTCCCCCTCCAATTGCTGCAAACAGCTCGTCCGGTCGCCGTCCGTTCGGCGGCGCCGACGTTGTCTCGCGAGCTCCTCATGGCCAATTTCACCTCATGAGGCAAATCTTTCGTCCTGCGTAAGTGCGTTTCGGCCGTGCGTCTCCTCACCCAACGGACTGCCTGTGAGATGTGGTGTCGGCTGTGTGGTAACCAACAACGGACTGCATGTGAGATGTGGTGTGTCGGCTATTTTTGTTACCAACAACGGACTGCCTGTGAAATGTGGTGTGTCGGTTATATGGTAACCAACGAGTTCGAAGGCCAAAACGCCCATCCCCAGGACGAAAGTTTTGTCCTCTTGATGTGGTGTGTCGGCTATGTTGTTACCAACAACGGATTGCCTGTGAGGTGTGGTGTGTCGGCTAGATGGTAGCCAACGACTCCGAAGACCAAAACGCTCAGTGCGTTTCGGCCGTGCGTCGCCTCACCCAACGGACTGCCTGTGAGATGTGGTGTCGGTTGTGTGGTAACCAACAACGGACTGCATGTGAGATGCGGTGTGTCGGCTATTTTTGTTACCAACAACGGACTGCCTGTGAAATGTGGTGTGTCGGTTATATGGTAACCAACGAGTTCGAAGGCCAAAACGCCCATCCCCAGGACGAAAGTTCTGTCCTCTTGATGTGGTGTGTCGGCTATGTTGTTACCAACAACGGATTGCCTGTGAGGTGTGGTGTGTCGGCTAGATGGTGACCAGCGACTCCGAAGGCCAAAACGCTCAGTGCGTTTCGGCCGTGCGTTTCCTCACCCAACGGACTGCCTGTGAGATGTGGTGTCGGCTGTGTGGTAACCAACAACGGACTGCATGTGAGATGCGGTGTGTCGGCTATTTTTGTTACCAACAACGGACTGCCTGTGAAATGTGGTGTGTCGGTTATATGGTAACCAACGAGTTCGAAGGCCAAAGCGCCCATCCCCAGGACGAGAATTTTGTCCTCTTGATGTGGTGTGTCGGCTATGTTGTTACCAACAACGGATTGCCTGTGAGGTGTGGTGTGTCGGCTAGATGGGAACCAGCGACTCCGAAGGCCAAAACGCTCAGTGCGTTTCGGCCGTGCGTCTCCTCACCCAACGGACTGCCTGTGAGATGTGGTGTCGGCTGTGTGATAACCAACAACCGTCTGCATGTGAGATGCGGTGTGTCGGCTATTTGTGTTACCAACAACGGACTGCCTGTGAAATGTGGTGTGTCGGTTCTATGGTAACCAACGAGTTCGAAGGCCAAAACGCCCATCCCCAGGACGAAAGTTTTGTCTTCTTGATGTGGTGTGTCGGCTATGTTGTTACCAACAACGGATTGCCTGTGAGGTGTGGTGTGTGGCGGCTAGATGGTAACCAACGACTCCGCAGGCCAAAACGCACATCTCCAGGACGATTTTTTTCCTATTGGGCCCGGAACGACGGTGTCAAGTCTTGAACAGACCCGTATGCGATAAGCGCCGTCGGATATCATGAAGTTCGCGCGGATCCAAATTTGGCTTTGGTGTTTGTTTCGGTGGATCCGATTTCCGTCCGCACGGATCCGATTTCAGATTCGCTGGATCCGTGTCTGGTCTTATTTTTGCGGCGGATCCGATTTTTACCCTGTTTTAAATTGATATTATTAAATTACACCAGGGGACCGGGAGAAATCGGATCCACGGACCCCCGCAAACCGCCCGTGTTAAGATTCTATGGGGGAAGGGGGGGTCGGTCATCAACTTTCCACGATGGGCCCTGCGTCGTCTCGCGCACTCCCATCTAATCCCCGCGCGAGCGGGCCCCAGTCAACATGAATACATACATCCCTCCCCCTCCAATTGCTGCAAACAGCTCGTCCGGTCGCCGTCCGTTCGGCGGCGCCGACGTTGTCTCGCGAACTCCTCATGGCCATTTTCACCTCATGAGGAAAATCTTTCGTCCTGCGTAAGTAATTGGCTCGTATATTTTTTTACAAAAAAAACTTCCACCCGAGCCTGGACGCAAAGCCGCCAGCCGGCCGCGCGCTCGGTCCTCGTGTGTACGTTGACGAGCTACGCGGGCAAGTCCCCTCGGCTGTGTGGGCACGTCTGTCGACTCCCTCCTCGACGGGGCCCGAAGAGGTGGGGTCGGAGGATCGCGACGCATGGCAGATGCAGCGGCGATGCATCGACAACGGTGATGCATAGCCGCCGTTGAGGTGGAGAAATCAGGGCTCCAGATCGAGCCGTACTGCTGAGGTATCGGCGATGCGGCAGCCAACCCTCCGATTCCCATTATTCGGACACCATTCGGGAGGCCTGGAGCCTGAGGGGGACGTGTCTTGGCCGCCTCCACCTACACAGTCCGAGTTCTGCTTAAGTCGTGGAACATACTTGCGAATCAAGGGATCGCTACGTATGCGCTTGCCCACGAGGATGACGAAGGAAGGGGAAATCGGGGAACGCAGAGAGATGCAGGTAGAGAGGAGCTGGGGAGGCCAAGGATTTGTGGGAGAGGGGGGGGTACAAGGGAGGCGATCGCAAACCATCGGTAAGGCCTCGGCACCACTGATGATGTTGATGGGCTTCCACTGCTTAACCTTTGCGGACCGGACCTCGGTGTGCTGGCCAAAGCGGGAAGATCTGAACTGGTAAGGGTGCTCTGGCCACACCCGTCTGGGCCATGCACCCATCCCCAGATACACATCACATCATCGTCGTCGTCGTTGTCCTCCTCCTCGTCCTGCCTTCCTTCTCGTCACCGGCTGTTCCTGCTTGTGTTGCTCATCCCACCCTGTTTACCCTACTCCTTGGCGCAGTGTTCTACCTACCCCATACTTCTGTCTCCTTCAGCCTCTCTTCATGTGTTGCGGGTCATCACCCTGATAACCTTTGCTTCATCCTTCGACCCGTCCACATCCCCCACCTCCTTGTCATCGTCATCATCAACATCACCACCAAAAACACCATCACCATCATCATCATCATCATCATCATAATCATCATCATCATCATCATCATCATCATCATCATCATCATCATCATCATCATCACCATCACCAGCATCCTCATCATAATCATCACCGGCATCGTAACCATCACAATCATCAGCAGCATCAGCGTCATCATCAGCATCATCACCATCATCAGCATCATCACAAGTACAATCACCTTCATCATCAACATCCTCAGCACCCTCAGCATCATCATCATCATCATCAGATTCATCATCATCATCATCATCATCATCATCATCATCAGCAACATCATCGGTATCGTCATCGTCATCATTATCGTCCTGTTCCTGCCCTCCTCCGCCACCCTCGAACTCTTCCATGCGCCTCGTCGCTATCCTCGTCGTGCTACCCGAACCCTTACCACCCCCCGGCCCTCATGCCCACCTCCCCCATCCACCTCCTCCATATCATCCGAATGTTTGTCGTCCATACAATACAATCATCATCAGCAGCAGCAGCATCAGCAGCATCTTCATCACCATCATCATCATCGCCACCATCACCATCACGATCACCGTCACCATCACCATCACCATCATCGTCATCATCATCATCATCATCATCATCATCCATCGCCTCCTTCTTATCGCTCATTACCGTCACTTCCATTACTCATCGCTGTCATTATCATCCGCACCCCCTTTTTCACCACCGTACTCCGAATCCACATCATCACCCTCGTGATGCTCCTCGAACTCTTCCCGCGACACCTCGATATGACAAGTTCCATGTCCACCTCCTCCATCCAGACCACCTGCCCCTCGTCAGTACCATCCTAAATTGGAACTGACCCTCAACCTGCATCACATCGCCCTCCTCGTGACATATCATCGTCACCCTCATTAATCATCGACAGCACAGCCTTCCTTTCTACTGTCTTCCCGATCCTCATTCGCATCATCGAAGCGACTTGTCCAATCATTTTCGCTGAGTCGTATCCCCAGGTGCAAAGAAGCACTTGCAGAGGATCGACGCATGTGGGGGCATTGTGGGGGAAACGCAAACTCCGAGAAGACACAGTGGAACAAACACCTTCGACTTGAAACAGGCTCCCCTGATGCGCGATGAAATCCCTTTGGATTGTTCCAAGACCGCCACTACGGGGCCGTCGGCGGCATTTGCCTGTCGATCGAAGCACTGTCTGATGGTATGACATGCGCCCCACTGGTTCGGTCCGGGACAACGATCCGCGGACGGAGGCACCGTGCCCTTCGCCTGAGTTGCCTGGATCATGTAGAATAACGCAGGGGCTCTCACAAGGAGGTACGCCCATACAGGGAGGTAGCGATCGTGGCCGTTTTGGGGGCGCCCAATCAGGGGCACGCGCGCAAAATTCCCTCGCGGCGGGGTGCCCCAAACAACCCCCAAGGGCAGCTGATCGACACCGGAGGTGTCTTAAGGAACCCCCGCGGGCATCTGATCGAGGCTGTGGGGGGTGCCCCCAAAACACCCCTCCAGGAGAACATGCTGGGAACAGAGTGGGAACATGGGGGAACATAGGGGGACCGAGTGAAAATAGAGTGGGCACACAGCTGCCCAAACATATCGATCCAAACTTTGGCTGTTCAAGCACCGAAGGTTAGGTCGGGCATGTCCCCCGACAGGCAGATTTTTGACGAAACGTTAAAAATACACCCAAAATGCCCCAACATGCTCAAACATGGTCAACATATCGTCCCCAGACTATTTTGTTGACTATGTTTGAAGATTCCCGCTGTAGAGGGACACGCCCGACTTGAACCTAAGGGAACATAGGGGAACACGGTGGAAGCACAGCGGGGACACAAGGGGGACATGGCTTTCCCAGGGGGGTGCTCTTGGGCCCCCTCCGCCTCGGCCGCCAGCCCTGGGGCGTGGCTGTAGGCTTCTGTTGTTCAAGGGGCCCAAAGACACAAATAAATACACACAAGTCCCCGGATTCCCCATATTTTCCCATGTTTTCTGGGTTTTCGTATTCCCCCCACTTCCCATATTTTCCCATGTTACCTAACAGCGAAGACTGATAGGTTTCTAGTGGGGTCAACAGAGAGCATCTTGACTCCCCAAGGGGGTCTGGGCGGATGCCGGGGGAATCCGTAGAATCCGGGGATTCCTATAGATTCCTATGCTTTTCCCTATGGATTCCTACAGATTCTGTTCCCCAAAAAACAATTTCCAGGCCACATTTTGAATGCCCGGAGACAAATGTGGGCCACTTCGTGTTCTTCGTCTTCCCAGAACACCATTCCCAGGCCACATTTTGAATGCCCAGAGCCAACTGTAGGCCACTTCGAATTCTTCGTCTTCCCAGAACACCATTCCCAGGCCACATTTTGAATGCCCAGAGCCAACTGTAGGCCACTTCGCGTTCTTCGTCTTCCCAGAACACCATTCCCAGGCCACATTTTGAATGCCCGGAGCCAACTGTAGGCCACTTCGTGTTCTTCGTGTTCCCAGAACACCAGTCCTGTGCCACATTTTGAATGCCCGAGCTGAGGCAGGCTGAGGCCGAGGCAGGCTGAGGCCGAGGCAGGCTGAGGCCGAGGCAGGCTGAGGCTGAGGCTGAGGCACGCCGAGGCAGGCTGAGGCTGAGGCTGAGGCGGGCTGGGGCTGAGGCGGGCTGAGGCTGAGGCTGGCGCAGGCTGAGGCCGAGGCAGGCTGAGGCTGAGGCTGAGGCAGGCTGAGGCTGAGGCAGGCTGAGACTGAGGCTGAGGCAGGCTGAGGCTGAGGCTGAGGCTGATGCAGGCTGAGGCTGAGAGGCTGACGCTGAGGCTGAGGCAGGCTGAGGCTGAGGCTGAGGCTGAGGCAGGCTCAGGCTGAGGCTGAGGCAAGCCGAGGCAGGCTGAGGCTGAGGCTGAAGCTGAGGCAGGCTGAGGCTGAGGCTGAGGCTGAGGCTGAGGCTGAGCAAGCTGAGGCTGAGGCGAGGCTGAGGCTGATGCAGTCTGAGGCTGAGGCAGGCTGAGGCTGAGGCTGAGGCAGGCGGAGGCTGAGGCTGAGGCCGAGGCAGGCTGAGGCTGAGGCCGAGGCAAGCCGAGGCTGAGTCTGAGGCTGAGGCTGATGCTGAGGCAGGCTGAGGCTGAGACAGGCTGAGGCTGAGGCTGAGGCAGGCTGAGGCTGAGGCAGGCTGAGACTGAGGCCGAGGCAGGCTCAGGCCGAGACAGGCTGATGCTGAGACTGAGGCAGAGGCTGAGGATGAGGCCGAGGCAGGCCGAAGCTGAGACAAGGTGAGGCTGAATGGGGGGGGGGGGGAAAGAAGCGGGGAGGAGGGGAGGCTGAGGCAGGCTGAGGCCGAGGCAGGCTGAGGCCGAGGCAGGCTGAGGCTGAGGCTGAGGCAAGCCGAGGCAGGCTGAGGCTGAGGCTGAGGCTGAGGCAGGCTGAGGCTGAGGCAGGCTGAGGCTGAGGCTGACGCAAGCTGAGGCCGAGGCAGGCTGAGGCTGAGGCTGAGGCAGGCTGAAACTGAGGCCGAGGCAGGCTGAGGCTGAGGCTGAGGCAAGCCGAGGCAGGCTGAGGCTGAGGCTGAATATGAGGCAGGCTGAGGCATCCGTAGGAATCCATAGGAATCCTTAGGAATCCTTGGGAATTCGTAGGCATCCTTAGGAATCCGTAGGCATAGTTAGGCATCCTCTGGAATCCTGAGGAATCCTTAGGATTCCCTAGGCATCCTTAGGAATCCCCAGGAATCCCTGGGAATCAGGATTCCTAAGGATTCCTAAGGTTTCCTAAGGATTCCTATGGATTCCTAAGGGTGCCTAAGGATGCCTTGGGAATCCTTAGGAATCCTTAGGATTCCATTGGATCCTAAGGCCGTTGCCACTGTGACTGTCATGCGACTGCGAGAACAGCAGAATTCTACAACTGGATTCTCACCTGAATCTTAAGGGGAATGCTTCCAGATATGCTTATACACATCGCTGTTAGGTTGCTTTGCCGGAATCATTTTCTTGGGAGTCGACGATTATTTGTGCCTGTGAGGTTTTCCCTCCTGAGTTGTTCCCACAATACTGAAGGACCTGTCGAGACAGTGCCGAACGCGTATCGCCTCCCAGGGACCGACACGTGAAAGAACCCTCCAGTTTCGTGCTCGAAATTCGTTCTGGGGGTCAAGGCTAAAATAGGCTAGAACATCATTTGAGCAGAGACCGACCGTCCCGGTATTCCAATAGGCCTACCACGAAATAAGCTATAACAAAAACAGTGTTACTAGAGCATGAGCCCGATGTGTTAAAACAGAGCCAGACTCAGCCAGAAATGTTCTAAGAACATTTCGTGCAGACCGCAATGGTTCTTAGAACATTGTATGGTAGGCCTATCGGCGAGCTGGGACGCTCCGCCACTGCTTGCATCATACTTCTAGGCACCCCCAGCCTCTGTCAGACGCCCAGGTGTGGAAATGTCCTGCACTCCTCCTCCTCCTCCTCCTCCTCCTCCTCTTCCTCCTCCTCCTCCTCCTCCTCCTCCTTCTCCTCCTCCACAAGCCCCCTCTGGGCGTCAGCCACGGCCGGGGAAACGCTACAGCCGTGGGGCCCCATACTCGGAAGCCGGGTGAGGACTGGCAAATCCGTGGCTTCTAAAACGGTCCTCCTGGAACCACACGACCACTTCCCGGAAGAAAAGCTCGA